AAACCAAACCAAACCAAACCAAACCAAACCAAACCAAACCAAACCAAACCAAACCAAACCAAAATGATGTACTTAGGAACATACAATGTAGCTCCAAAGATGTCTTCATCATATTCCTGTTTACCTTGAAGGCTTAACACTAAAACTGTCCATTAGTATGTTAATCTCTAGAAGTTGAGCAAAGAATAACCCTGCCCCCTAATTAAATTAAAAGATTCTTTTCGGGCAGTGGTGGCACACCCCTTTAATCCCAGCACTTGGGAGGCAGAGGCAGGTGGATTTCTGAGTTTGAGGTCAGCCTGGTCTACAGAGTGAATTTCAGGACAGCCAGGGCTATAAAGAGAAACCCTGTCTCGAAAAACCAAAAGACGAACAAACAAAAAGATTCTCAAGACCTCACTTGTATGTCTTTACGAGATTGATTAGCAACATTCAAGCATAATCTAAAGAGTTCATTTAATTATCAGCCCTAGACCTTATTTTAAATGTAACTATGAACTTTCCTATTTATTTTTAACAACCAAATAAATAACCAATCAGAAAACAAGGCCTTGTAACTACCAATCAAATATCCACAGAACCAGTTAGATATTGGGGGGTTGGAGGTGTACCTACCTTCTTTTCCAGTCTATCAATTAATTTCTGGAGTCTGTTTATCTGGGTCATCCACTGGTTGTCTTCTTCTAACAATGCTTGGCAGGAAATCACAAAGGCAGAGTGTTAAATTTTTAAGAATGTTGATTGTTTAGTTATCTATCTTTTCACCCTGAAGGAAGAATGTTGTGTCACTGACTATTTAACACATCCCTAAAAGTCTATCCTATGAGCGATTTCTAAGTACCCAGCTCATAGAAATCCGTGCATCACTGGCTTCACTCACAAGCCTCCCCTGCTCCTTTAAAAAGTTTCTTTTTAGAAAAATATTGTGTACCGTACTAGCCTGTAAGGCTCAAGAGAACAGATCTTGCTGAGCCCTTTTTACAATCCAATAAAATACTTTTCTTTGGAAAAAGAAGGAAAGCCCTGATTCTAAACTCATCTGTAAGGCAGGGGCAGGAACAGATAAAATCAGTCTCTTGATTTGGAGTGGTGATGCAAAAGAAGTGTAACAGCAAGTTGGCTGGTGTTCCCTTTCCCACTGACTAACCTGGGAACACAAGGACCCTTTAGTCATGGCTTAGAGGTGCAGAGTGTAAACTGGAGCCTGTTGTTCTATATCCTGTGTATGAAATATACTTATTACATATATGTATATGATGTATATGTAATATTTATACATATTTCCATATGAAATACATATGAAGTACATATGGAAATATGTATAAATGTGGGTATATATATCTGCATATCTGTTACCGTGTAAGATACGTTATACTGGCAGAATGTTGTTCTGTCTCAGCTCACTGAGAAGTGGCTTTAAAAGTAGGATTGCCCTCCCTCCTCATTTCAGCCGCAAGCATGTTTGCTTCAAAGTGTCCTCTAAGACTCCTTGTCTGGGGACGAGCAGGCTTTCTAACTTTCCAGCAGGGAGGAACTAGAACAACAGAACAACTCAAGTGTAAGTACATTATACCCCTGAGAGGTGCTAACAGGTAAAGCATTGCCAATAAGTGTTATTATTGTTTTCCCCCATAATATAAGAGGGCCTGCAGTGAAAAAGAGAAGCCAGAACTTCAGATGCAGGAAGCATATCCATGAAGAGAAGCTCAACTGTGAATTCCACGTGATGACCAGTTTGATGACTTCATCTTTAGATGTTGCTATTTGTTCTTTTACTTAGAAGCCTCACCAAAGTGGGTACTCTACTGGGGCTATTCCTGAGCAACTCCAGCTGGCTGCCTTAACAGGGCTTCCTTAGTCAGTTTCTGTGGGATGTCTTAAGAGCTTGTTTTGATAATATTCTCTTTCTTCCCCCTCTCCTCACCTTCATCTCTGTCTCCCCTCTCCCTCCCCCTGTCCTCTCTCTCCTTATTCTTTTACTTTGGCTTGTTATTTTCTTGATAAGCTCATTTGAAATCCAAAATATGGCTATTATAGACCATTTTCTAGATTATACAGAAAACACCACTTGAAACATTGTGTAAACACTGCTTGTAATATCACTGTAACTATTATTATAAAAAGATGTAAAGGAAGATATGGTCTGAGACCTTGCATGGGCATCCTAGCTTCCTATGTGCTGATGACAGCTCATTCTAGATGTCTCACACGTGCTTGTCGAAGTTATATTAGTTACTCTTCCTTCAAATGAGGGCAATATTGAATTCACAGCTCCAAGTCTTGGTTTAGCATAGAGAGAAGTAGAATCAAGACTTAAATGATAAAGAGGTACTGTTCCCATACAGAAATAGCACAGTAAATCCCATTAATCTTTAAGACTGCAAAAGTAAAGCATAGTGATTTCTATCAAAAAGTACTTTTGTATCTGTCTTTCAGAAGGAAGAAATGCGCCAACAAATTATAAAGTAAAAAACAAAAAACATTGGCACTGCACCAAAGAAGTGGTATTAGAAATGAATTTAAAGAAAACACTTTAGATACAAAACCCAGTATGTTTACTTTTTAATCAGCAAATTAAGAAGCAATTTCTAAGCTGAGTTGTTGCTTACAAAGATTTAAGAAGAATCAAAGTCCCTGGGAACTATATAGCTTCGTCTATGCCTTCCCATCCAAGCACTAACCAGGCCTCTTCCTACTTAGCTTCTAAGATTAAAAGTGATGGATACATTCAGGATAGCATGGTCATAACTAATTTCTCTATTTGTTCTAAAAATATCATATCTATCTGTCTATCTATCTATCTATCTATCTATCTATCTATCTATCTATCTGGTGTGTGTGTGTGTGTGTGTGTGTGTGTGTGTGTGTGCAAGCACATATGTGTATGTATGTACAGGGGAAATTCATGCATTTCAAGGCATGTATGTAAAAGTCAGCTGACAACCTGTGGGAGTGGGTTTAGCTAGGGGGTTTGACTTTCTACCGCGTGGATTCTGAAGATCAAGTTTAGCAAACACATTTACTCCTGGAGGTATCTTACTGGCTCTGTGTTTTCTAAATGGTTAAAATGGAAATTCTATAATCTATGTTTGTCCTTGGGAACCAAGCACTGCCATTTTCCGGCCATGAAAGCAGTCTGTTATCTGGTGTCTGACTTCTTGCTCTTTTTTTTTTCCACAGTTCCTGTGGAAGTCAGTAGGGGCAACTTTGTACATCTCTTGCTTCTTTGAGGGGCATAGTTTTCTTCTTCATGATTAGTAGGCTTGGCATGTGACTTATTTGGCCAGTGGAAAGTTAGGTGGCAAGACTAACATTGTAGTTTAAATGTATTTATATAATTTTTGTCTGGCTGCTTGTACTTATGACATCTACCAGGAGGCAAAAATATTTTGAGTGTTACTTATTCCAGGTGAAGCTACACTAGGAGCACAGAACTTAGCCTAGAGCCTGGCTTATAATATTCAAACCTCTGCCTACCATACTCATGAGGAACAAAAAATATTTGTAGTTGTAACTATTGGGCTTCTTTGACAATAAAAATGGGCTAATAGTCCATATGATCATAGACAGATCATTTTCTATTCTGAGCATTGTTTTTTCTGAGTGATCTGGAAGAATGTGGTTACACATTTCCATTGTGTAAGGATTTGGGATAGAATAAGGCTGTTCAAAAGTGTGCTTCGACATCTTCCAATCAAGTGGAATGTCCTTGAAATGCTTGAAGTATTTGTGTTAAAATGTTAATGCACTGATGTGTTCAAGTGCAGATGTGTTTGCATACATTCATGTTTACAATAGTTACTTGAATATTGGGCAAACATAAGCTCGCATATTTCAGAATGATTTTACAATAACTGTAAATGTTATAGTTAAAATGTAATACTCAAATCAGTCAGAATTAGCCTGACAAGCATTATACGAACTCACAATCTTCAGAAGCCTCATCTAAGGCTAATCCTAAGATTTTCCTAGATGAGTATATGGTACACACTTCAGGTGACTTGGAGAGGGACAAGGAGGTACGGGGTGGAGGAGCAAGTTCAGAGCTAGGGTGCCCCACAGTGCACGTGTCTTGGGAACTGCTGGCTAGAGCGATTTCTGCTGTGTCCATCTCTCTGTGAGCCATCCAGGCACATCTGCTAGGATTGGATGGGACTGCCAAGAGGGTACCTCCTCACTTCCTAATACTTGGCTTCTCCTCAGTTTCACAGGCATTTGGTAAAAGGGAAACATTCCAGGCTTCTGCTTTTAATCTATCCACATGATGAGGAAGAGCATCGAAGTCTGCTTACCTGGACTGCTGACATTGAACTGCGGGCTGTTGGGGGAGAAACTGTTGTGTCTCTGGACTCGGCGGCTGGATCGCTTTCCAGGCCATTGAATGGACAGGACTTCTGGCTTGGATGGCCCTTGCCTAAAACAAGAGCCAATATTGAACTTTACTGTCAGAGCTTCAGTATCTTCTCCTAGGATGAGATCCTAAAGTATCAATGACTAAGGGTTCCTGGGATATTTAGTGAAATGTGGAAGAAACACTGCCTGCAAACATGCTCTGGATAGACAGGCACGTTGTTACTGTAATATCCAAATGAAAGGATGAGAATGTTCCAGGTTTTCATTATTAAAATTAAGCCCAAGTAAAATTTAGTTTGTAACCTAACCTATCTTTCTATCATTGGCCAAGTCTTTAACAGAAATAAAATATGTGTTCATGATGTGTAGTGTTTTGCACCAATTTGAGAATAGCTATGGAATTTTCTTTGGTTGATTAATATTTTACATTTTTGTTCCAATCTACTAAATTTAAAAAAGCCAAATAACTGAATCTTCCTCCTCCCATGCCCAGATGTGCCTCCACTCCTTTTTCATAGACATTTCTTTTTTTTTTTAAGATTTATTTATTTATTTTATTTATGAATTTTTCTACCATGGAGACCTTATTCACTTGTCCTAGTATCTGTGATACAGGAAGATACTCTTCACTCTACACAAAGAGAAATATCAACCCAGTCACAAAATATTTGATTTGTAATGATGTCTTTCCTACAAGTTATACTAGGGTAATGATGGCACAAAGCTTGTGGGAATAACCAACTAATCTCTGAGTGACTGAAGTCTCACTCTGTGAGATGGAAACTATTCCTAATAGTGGGTGACCAAGAATTTGAAACTAGATAGTCTAGGGCCATAAGGTCAAATACTACTGTTCTTTAAAAAATGTGGTGATAAATGACTCCTAATGACATTCTACTATTCTCATAGATCAGTTTCTTGTTCAGTCATTATCAGATGCTCCCTCCTTCATAAGATGTGAGCAAATACAGAGAGACCCACAGCCAGACATTATGAGGAGACTGAGAGACCTTTGAACACTCAACTCTAGACCAGATGTCTCCATCAAATCCCTCCCATCAGGCCACAGGGAACCCCGTGAAAGAGGAGGCAGAAAGAGTTTAAGAATCAGAGGGGATGGAGGACATCAAGGAAACAAAGCCCTCAAAATGAACATGAGCAAAGTTCAGATGAACTCACAGAGACTAAGGCAGCATGGTCCTGCACTAGTCAGAAACGGGTCCTCTGTTTATATTTTAAAACTTCCAGTTTACCATTCTTATGAGATTCCTGAGTGTGCAAATGAGTGGTCTAGTTTTCTTGTGCCTTCTCTTGGGCTCTCTTCCTTTTGTTTGTTTTGTCATCTGATTCCAATGTGTTAGTTTTTGTTTTATTTTATTAAGAGAGAAAGATTGAGAGTGAGAGAGACAGACACATGCATGCACACACACACACACACAGAGAGAGAAAGAGAGGGGGGGGGATTGAGGGAGGGAGCACTATGCATTCCAATCCCCAGAGTATATCCTTTGTCCTGTCCAGACGTCCTGGATTCCCCTCTCTTAGAATGTCTGGGCACATCATCATCATCTGTAATATTCTGAGATATTACATATTAATATCCTTAAAGATATTACATATTGTATTCCTTAAAGTTAGATTTTTTTTTGAAAACATCTCATTATAATGAATTCTTAGTCTAATTTACCAGGCGGAAGACTCACACACTTGTTCCAAAGCTTTTCTTGAGTTATTCTTTTGATAATTTTCTCCCTTGTTCTTTTCCTAGAATTTATATTTTACAAACATTAGATCTTTTAAACTTACTTTCTCGTTTTTCATCATATATTTTCTTTCTTGCTACTTTGTAGAGACTTTATTATAATTTTATATTAAAATATTCCCTAAGGAATATTTTACACTTTTACACTTTTACACTTTTACAATTATAAGTTTGGATGTTTGAGACAAATCTCCTTCATATGCTGCAGATTCTACTTCCTTTAGCAACAAGTTTACCTTTTGATGGGTCTAGTTCTTTTGATCTTTTTTTTTTCTGTTCTCAGAATTGTTTTATGATGGCTAAAGAAACTACACTTTTGCTAGGGTTCCATCTTGGTATCTAAGAGCTGCTGGTTTCTGACCCAAGCTCCTAAAAGACAACTTGCTGACACGCCCAACCCCTTGAGCTCTGCCCAGCAACCATAGCTTGTTCTTGCTATGACTAACTATTAGTTTTGGCCTCTATAACTTGCATGTGCAGACACTCAAGGACTATTTTGTGGTCAATTTGACCATCTAATCTTGACAGAGCAGAACAGCTCTTGTGGTTTCTCCTTTAAGAACCATTCTGTCACCTGTTTCTGTACTGCATGTCTTTGATTTGGGTTAGAGAACATTGCCCTGCTAGAAGTTTTAATAAATCTGGCTAATTATAATCTGAGTTAAGTCTGATGGTGGTCCCAAACTCTGTAACAGTTTCCGTTTCTTCTGGTTTTGTGCTTGCTTTGTGCTTTCTGTTGCTCCACCCAACCCTCGACATTCCAGAGTGAGGACTTACAAGGCAGGTTGGCATTTTTGTACTCATTGCCGTTAGCCAAGTCACATCTTCCCATCAGAGTCTTTACACCTGTTCATAGGCGTGACTATGACTTTCTCTTAGACTAATCAGATCTTCTGCTGAAGTGTCCCCTAACTTAACACTTTGAGCCCTGATATCTGTAACCTGGAAATGGCTTACAAAGCGGGTTTAGACTACCTGGTCAGGCTGAAGGGCTTCACTTAGTGTCTCATCTTCATCTTTGTAGCCTGCCCCTGTGGTACCTGGTTCACACTTGTTGACCTCTAAGCTTCTCCTGACTTGGAAGGGCAATCACTGCAAACCTCTGGTGGAGATTCCCACAGTACTGTTTCAGTTCACTGCCAGTTCCTCATGGCTCCGTCATGAATCCTCCAGCATCTCAGGGTTCTTTGGTCTCATCACTGCATAACTTCCTCTCATACAGTGTGTGAGAGCTGCTTTCCCAGGACTTTTAAATCACTTTACATTCTTCTAGTTTAAGATTTTGAGTTTCTAGTTTGGGGGTTGGGGGTGGCGTGGGGCTTTTCTTCCCTTCACAACTCTTTTATCCAGGCTTTTTAAATGTTAACTTTGAAAGTTTAGGCAGAGAACAACAACAGAAACATGTATCTAGTATCAGATGTATCTAGTTTGCAATAAATATTGGAAGACATTCCAATAAGTATTTTCTCTACGGATTTTCCTACAGCATAAGTTTCATGCTTTGGTGACACAGCAACAGAGCTGCTTTGTCCAAACTAGGAGATCATAAGCCATAGGGCGATTTGTAATCACTTGTGGTGAAACTAAAGTCTTTCCTATCAATACTAGACAATGATCAAAAGTCAAGAAATTGCTTCCAAGCTTGAGGGACTTATTTTATCCCTGCCCATAGAAGAAGCATGGAAAGAAGACCTTACTTAAAGATTCCATTCTACAAGGAAATCCACACATAATTGAACTGTGTTTCATGGAGCTTGTGAGGAGGAGGGTTTACATAATAGCCCTGGGGTCCTCTCCAGGGTACTTTTCACATCTCAAAATGACGTCTTTTGCCACTGGCTATTAGGCTTTTTCAAAAGACAGGGAATTAAAGTGGCTCCCACTTAGCCAGTTTGCCTGAGCAGATACAGAGACGGTATGAAATGCCATCTGAGAATCTCACCTCGCTGACATTCCAGCTGTGCATATCCCCCTCTCCAAAATTGCCACTTTCACATGAATGGGTACAGACATTATGCTCAGCCCAGCATGTCTGATTCATTATTGCAGGATGAACGATGTTGTGTGATTCTGCCTGGGGCTTCTAGAAGGAAGAGATGATTTTTCTAGATTTCATCCTTCTCAACAAGTCTGTATCCCTTGGTTTCATAAGTATTAAATTCTAAAGTAATATGGATGCTGAAGGGGAAGAAAATGATTATGGCCCTGGGAATTTTAATGAAACCTATAGCTCACAACTCTTGACTATGTAAGGAATCATGGAATTCTCTTTTTTGATATTAAAAATGAAGGAGTTTGGTAAATCTTGTTTTGGCTTCTCTTTATTTTGTTTTTTTCTCACACAGATATGTACTATATATAGTTGCTAGACTAATTTCCTTTAAGCCTTGGTTTCATTAGATTGGTCTTTTATAACCACTGGCAACAACCTATGATATAATTAACTCCCAATGCATCTGGCTAGCTAAAGGAGGAGTGGAGATGGGATGGGGGGGTTCTAGGGAGGTGAAATGGGGAAAGAGGATGGCATCTGAAATGTAAATAAATAAAATATCCAATAAAAAATAAAAAGAAAAAAAAGATCTCCCAGATAGCAGATGGAGTGGCCTCCTCACTGTCCCTACCGCAGTGCTCTTCTCTTGGGTTCACTCCCATTCATTTGGCTCTGCTCATTTAACACATGGAGGGGGAACGATGTGAAAGCCCTAACATCCAGAAATGGTAAGACTGATGGGGAAGACAAATAAGGACAAAACTGAGATAGTTAAGTGGGAATACAAGGCACAACTAGAGCACTCGGTGGGGGACATAGAGGCTTTATAGATAAAGAATTGTGGAGTGACAAAAAAGGTTGGAAAAGCTAGCTAGATGACAGGTATCCAACATGGGGTGGGCTCAAACACACTCCTCCAATACAGAATATCATCTTGCCTCTCAAAATTGTCCTAAAGATCCAGTTCAAGGCTTCTCAGCCTAGGAAGCTATGCCAAGGTTGTTTTGATTGACATTCTGGGACAGGACAGACTCCCTCTTACTGTTATTTTGTCATGGGTACTGGTACTGAGATTTCTGTAGGAAGGCATGACCCTTGGAAAGAAGACCTAGCCTTTTAGTTTAGGGCTAATAAATGCTTCCTTCTGAACCACCAGAAACTTCATAATGGATATAATGGGCACTGACCCATAGTAGTGTACTTTTTCTCCATACTTTAAACATTAATTTACCCAGAAACTCCTGAGGGTGTCTTAGAATGGGGTTAGGCTGGACATCTCTAGATGCTTCCGTCAAATTCTGTATCACAGTACTCTCCACACTGTCAGGAGACCTATAACAGTTCCCATTATTCAAGCAGTTTTGGAGCTATAAATCTAGAAGTAAACGGTTCATTAATCCTCTGATGTCTTCTATTTTTCTTAAAACTCCATATTATTTTGTTCCTTCCCATTAAACACAGATGCTGTGCAGCTTCTGGTTGCAGGCAAAAGTTGAAAGCAAGCCTAACACACAAAAACCAATTGTTCATTAAACATTTGCTGTGGGTGTGTGGTGCTGGGTATGGCCTATGATAACTACAGAAGGGAAAAAGAGAATCCAAGCATGAAGAGGGGGAGGCAGAGCCGAGGCTTTTCTAAGTCTCCTCTCAGGTGGGAAATGATCGATTATAAAAGAAAAGAATTTAGATCCATGAGATCTAAGCCAAAGAAGTAATAAGGACCATCATTTTCTCACTCAGAACATGAAATCAGTTTCACTGTGCTTCAAGACATCTAGTTATCATTTCAAACTGGAAGAGGTGGGTTGCTGTTTTCCTGAAGTAAATTTGGAATGGAATCACCCAACACAGTGAAAAGAAAAGTGAGTGTTGACGTTGCTCAGACCTATTGAAGGATGTAATCCAGGGTTCATAGGCTACACCCTAGATCCATCATTGGCACATGACAGCCTTCTTCTGTTGTAACCTGGGAGTGCCTATTCTTCTGACATTGTACACATGGCTGAAAATTCTATAATATGGAGGTGTCTTGATAATCATCTTTCCATTAATCTGTTCAGAAAAATTAGTCTTACAGGATAAATTATGACCATTTTGTTCAAAACACTTTACCACATGGTTCCAAGAGCAAAGGTTACATAAGGCATATCCAGGACCTTAATGTGACATATCAACAAGAGCAAGAATGTTGCCCTTGTCAATCTTGCAAGACACAAACAATGTCAGTTGAGTAACATACCAAGTGGTTTGAGTCATCCTGATATTGCTTTACCAGGCTTCTCTTCAGCAACAGTGCCTCTTTTATGTTCTTAATTTTCTTCTTAGTGATATACACTGGTACCATTAGCTTTTAAATCTTTCATCACCCACGCTCCTCCATTTTAAAAGTAATCTGTCTTGATAATTAATGCCACAATCTTTCTAATATAACCAGGATCATCGACCTATTAAGACCTTTCTGATCACTGCCACGTTTTCAAATTATACTAATTTTGAATACCAGACCATGGGATTAAATTCCACTGTGCCATATTTAATATTTCACTCTTTAGAAACCCACTGACAACTTATTTCCTTCCCTCTATGTTTATCGTGTTGTACCTTTTACAGTTTAGTTTTGGTATCTGTGTTTTATGTATGTAATAAGTTTTAGCTCTTTAAGAATTAACATCTTGTTAACTATATATTAATATTATCTATATTGTTTTTAAATTCTTCTCTACATACTAAAATTTTAATTCACATTTGCTGAATAAATGACAGGTAGTATAATAAGAGGTGAGGTTTCTTTTTCTTTTTTTCATAGCAAATAGCCTAGGGAGGTCCTTGGCATTTCTTAAAATCCATTAATTCAGCTTTCTCTAGAATAAGCAGAAAAACCCCTCAACTGCTTTCCCACGAGTATTGCATCATTGGAGATATGGAAAACATTAGCTACCTTTCTTGACGGGTTTGCTCTTCAGTAGTTTCCATGGCACATTCCAGAGAGTTCTGGAGAGACTGCAACTGATTCAAGGTCTCTTTCAACAAAAATCGAGTGACAAATTGTTCCAAACTGGAGGCTTCTTGGTAGTCCTGTGGGTTACAAAACAAATGTAATTAAGAGTTTGGTAGTTTGGTAAGAGACAAACATTCAGGGAACTATTTTTTTCCCCAAGTACCCGTCAGTCTCAGACTAATCCTGAAAGGGAAAATGGAGAGGAAAGAGTTGTTAGCCTAGAAGTCTGAGGTAGGACTCTGTCCACCTGCCAGGGGCCAAACTTAAAAACTCATTAGACTATATCGCTTCTTATTGTACCTGCCTCACATTTAGCAAAAAGGACAAACCTTTGGCATTATTAAGTAACAGATTAAGTATTAGATTAATTAAGTATTAGATTAATTAATAGATATCCATGGGAAAAGAAACATTTTCTGGAAAAGAATGTCAGAGTGTAACTGACTTGCTTTGTTCTGTTTCATGTAAATAATAACCACAGCATCATATATTTTCTTTTTTCACTCAAAAATATAGTTGTGCTTCAACAAATGCCTTAATTCATTCTTGATACATGTATCATGCTTGATCTGTATTTCAGGGAAGACAGAAGTTAGGTATAGTTATTTTAAAATTTGGAAAATGTTAGGCTTGGAATATTTAAAGTTTAATCAATCTTTTCAGTCTGCTCAGCAATGTTAAAGACTGTCTGCAGCTAACTTGTATCACAAGAGTTCCACGTAGCCCACCAACCACAACTGACTTGGGCATAGCAGTGCCACTTGCTTCTTATGGCAGATGAGCAAGCTCTAGATCAGTGGCTCTCAACCTTCCTAAGGCTGTGACCCTTCAATACAGTTCCTCATGTTATGGTGATCTCCAACCATAAAATTATTTTCATTGCTACTTCATAATTGTTATTTTGCTACTGTTATGAATCATAATATAAATATCTGATATTTCCAATAGTCTTAAGAGACCAACATGAAAGGGACATTAGACCCCCCCAAAGGGGTTGTGATTCACAGTTTGAGAACCATTGTTCTAGCTAGTACTAGTTCCACTCTGTAATGTCTCAGTGAGAACCAAGGAAGAAAGCCAGGTTATAGTTAAAACTTTTAGTAACAGTGAATACAGAGCCTGAACTGGACATCTCCTGTAACCATACAAGGCTTATAGTGGAGGGATTGGGACACCAACCCAGCCACAAAACCTTCAACCTATAATTTGTACTGATTGCAAGATGTGCTGGGGTAAAAATGGAGCAGAAATTGTGGGAGTGGCCAGCCACTGACTGGCACAACTTGAGACCCATGCCAGGAGAGGGAGCCCATGCCTGATACTACCTATAAGGCCAAGGACAAGAGGTTGTATAACCCAGAGATGTAGGATAGAACCAAATATGACTGGCAAAAAAAAAAAAGCCAATGAAAGAATCTCTAATCATATTCTGCTATTCTCATAGACAGGAACCTAGTAAAACAGTCACCAGAGAGGCTTCATCACACAGCTGATGGGAACAGATGCAGAGACCCACAACCAAACACTAGACGGAGCTTGGAGAATCTTGCCAAAGAGGGGCAGAAGAGATTGTAGGAGCCAGAGGAGTCAAAAGCATCACAAGAAAACTACCCACAGAATCAACTAACCAGGACTCGCAGAGGCTCTCAGAAACTGAAGCAATAATCTTGGACCCTGTACAGGTCTGAGCTAGGTCCTCAACATATATGCTACAATCATGTAGTTTGATGTTCTTGTAGGACTCCTAACAGTTGAAATGGGGTTTTCTCTGACTCTTTTGCCTGCTTTGGGAACCCCTTTCCCATTATTGACTTGCCTTTCCAGCCTTGCAGCTTTGATATGAGTGTTTGTGCCTTGTCATACTGCAACTTGATATGCCAAGTTTGGTTGATATCCCTAGGCCTGCTCTTTTCTGAAGGGAAATAGAGAAGGAGTGGATGAGGGCAGGGGAGGGGGAGAGGACTGGGAGGAAAGGGAGGAGCAGAAAATGAGGTCAGAATGTAATATATAAGAGAAGAATAAAAGAAGAGGAGGAGGAAGATGGAGGAGGAGGAAGAAGAAGAAGAAGGGGAAGAAGGAGAAGAAGAGGAAAAGGAGGAGGAAGAGGAAGAAGAAAAAATTTAAGGTGGTGGTGGCTGCAGCCAGGTTAGCAGGGCTGAAATGTCAACAGAGTCTTTTTTCAAGTTACAAGAAACCAGCTAAATCTTAGTTTTTAGCTTCTTGGTGCTGTGGCTTGAATCTCATTGGTCCTTACAGGCATGCTTTGAATGAATGTGTTTCCCAACTGGTAGAGTTACTTTAAGATGTTGTGTAACCTTTGGGAGATGAGGACTAAGTCTATTTGCTCTGTCCCTAAACAGAGTGATATGTTATTTTATCATATAAAATGCAAAGCCAAGAGGAGTAAAGTGACAAGATGCTGCCTTGAGTCATGATATTCTGGGGAATTAGCAGGTATGGCTACAAATCCAAACAAAAGAAGTGTAGTCATTTAGCCTTTGGAACTTCACCTTTCTCACTTGCAAATCAGGCTAAATAAGTCCAGCATGTTTTACAAATTGAAAGTATCCTGTGCTTCTATGGATTCTAAATTATAAAATACTTGCTGGTGTCCTTCTGATATAAATTACCTCATTTTTTCCCAGTCCACAGAATAACATCATAGAAAATTTTATTTAGCAAATTTTCAATCATCAGTCTTTTGAAAAGCTTATAGTTGGAAATCCAGGAAAATGTTTTTTGTTTTTAACCCACTAACCAGATAGCCTTACTTAAAAATTCAAAACTGTCCTTAAACTCCATTTAATAAAATAAACATAAAATGCAACGTCCCCTGCTTACAATAGACACAAGAACTCTGGATAAGTTGCATCGAGTTAAAATACACACAATACCTCATTTGATCTCAGAGGTTCCTAAGCTTTGGAGCCAAAGCTTCACAGACTTTTTCTCCACTGATCTGGAAAGCATATTCATGAGGGAAAGTCTGATTCTCACCCGCAGTTGTTCTCATCTCACCAACACGCACATTACAAATAAAATTTATTAAAATGAATACAAGACACAATTGCACAGTCAGAGACTCTGCCAGCTCATCTGCATCTCAGCGTAAACTATGACTAATCCTGAGCAGGATGAAAGTTCACTCCCATCTGCAGACAGCACTGATCAGAGAAGACACAACACACTTAGTGAGCAATGGTCATGGTGCTGGCATTAGTTTTTTTTTTTTCATTTAAATGCTAAATATTTGTCACTGTCATGTCAGAGCTAGAAAAAGAAGAGCTTTGTTTTTTTAAGTTACTCAATGACAACACTTGGGCCATTTTTTCTTTTTGACTTTTGTTTCTTAGACACAGGGAATGGCAAAGACATTATGTTGATATTGTATTTTACAAAAATAAAAATAATTTTTATTATGTTTATATTATGTGACATTGTGCAATGAATTTAGATACTTTAAAAATACATATATGACATATTTTCATCAATTCATATCCCCCCATTTCCCACTCTTATCTGCTGCACAGCTTGTTTGGACCAACATATCCTCCTTCTGATTTCATGTCTTTAAAAACTCCATAGAGGTTTAATTCAGGTTGCTTGCGTGTGCATGGGTGTGGGGCTATTACTGGATCATGGTGACTTGCCAGTGGCCACACCCTCTGTGACTTCCCATCGTCTATCATATATTAACTGCCAATATTTCTTTTGCTATGGATGGGGCCTTATATGCTCCTCCATCACTATGCTGGAATGTTGGCGGGCTGGATCTTGTATAGGTACCTGTGGTTACTATGACTCATGAGTGTGATGGCATGCCATGTCCAGAAGACAGCGTTTCAGAGACTGTCTCCCTATTCCCTGGCTCTTACATGATATCCCCTGAGCCTTGGGGAGAGGGTATGATGCAGTGTTACTGTCTAGAGCTGACCATAAAACTAGACATTTAAGGGAAATTAAAATCAGACTTACTGTTGCTTTCCTATCATTGTTCCACCATAACAATACAGGCATTATTTTATACGCTCTTCCATGGCACCCTGGTGACACTCTATGATGACATCAGGAAGTGCTCTAACTGAGATGGGAGAGAATATTGGGCAGAAATGTCAAGAGCTTGACATTAACAAGGACGATAAGTGAGACAAGCCTTTTGGGGATTGAGGCTTTAAAACAGTTACTAAGGATTGCTGTTATGTGTCTCTCCTAGATATGAGAATCGGAAACTTGTTTTCAATTAAAATTTTAAACTATTCTTGTTCATACAAAGTAATGTATTTTACGATGGAATTTTCATACTCCCTCTCCCAAAGGTATTCCTTCTCCCTGCCCCTCAGTCCTTCCCTTCTGGTTTCATGTCACATATAATTCTAGTATCTTCTCTTTCTCAACCTCTCATTCCCTTGATATTTCACTCTCTCCTATATGGTCCCATTTCTAGCTTCATCATACACACACACACACACACACACACACACACATTGAAATCTATGTTATGCATATGGCATAGACCATGCAGTATTTGTCTTAAAGTAGGGCTACCTCATGACCACTCCTCGGCACATACCCAACTGATTCTGAGTCTGTACACCATGCTACACTATTCACAATAGTCAGGAAACAGAACTGATTGAGATGCTTATCAACAGATAAATGGACAGAGAATTACAATACATATACACGATGGGATTTCATTCAGCCACAGGAAAAACAATGAAATTACGGCAGCACTAGAGATCATTAAGTGAAAGATGAGCTAAGTAAAAGTAGACCTTGATGAGTAACATTTCTACTTGTCTTCCCAGGCTGAGCTCACTGTCTTCATAGCCTTTCCTGACTTGGAACCATCATTTATTTTCCCACAATCCTTTTCCCTTCATATTTTCTCTACGTGGGGAATAGGATTTGCCATTTTATATTGTAATCTCTGTCAAATCCTTAGGTGTAAACATTGTATCTTTTTCATCTGTATCCCGAGTGTTCAGAATAGTTCCTGGCTCATAGCAGCTGCCCCAGAAATGGTTAAAAACTATGTGACAAACAGGACACTGCATAAGGGCCTTGGGAAGCAGAA